TGTTATGTTGAGCTGTGGGGGACTCAGGTCAACAATTTTTGACATTGCCAGTTAAACAGAAGACCCCATGCTATTATGTGCTACTGGACTCTTTTAGAATATTTTGCTGAGTTTCCACACCTATAATATTCAAATAACGGAACTTAACAAAAAATGGGGATATAGACGAATGTCCATTTTGTATCTGTGTATTCGAAGTGGTTAGGATAGATATATAATTACATTCTCTTCATGAATAGATTTGTTCTAATGGTGTTTGTAAATAGGATCTCAAGTCCACATCTTGTACAGCAATTAACCACTAAGAAGAATGTACGTAGTATGTTACTGAAACTAATAATTTCAATAATAATTATTGAAACTAATCAAATCCTACCGATTTGATTTGAAACTGTCTCATTGCAATTTGTTTATCAATAAAATTATGAAAAAAAAATAGAAGAGATTATGGCCAGGTACTAATCTCTGAAAGAACTTATTGAGGAGACTCTCTTGCCTAATAACCTCCAGAGACAAATAAGTACATCTTTCTCCACTCTGAACCTTCATAAAATTCTATACTTGTTTACTGGGAAAGCTTCTAATTCACAAGTTAAAGGCATCTTGCTAATTAAAATGTCATAATTTCACTGTGGGGGCCTGGTATCTATGGAGATGCAGGAACTCGTCCAAATCAAAATCTTTATCACCTATTTTTGAAATCTAGCTAAAGCCTGAAGTAATGAAGAGCTTGTCACAATAAAAAAAAAAAAAAAAAAAGATCTATATAGAGTCTTTTCTCACTCTCTGTCCGACTCCTGTCCATGAAAGATTCCAGGAGTCAGCAGGAAACAAAGACAAGAGTCAGGGAACTGCTGTAGGTGGCTGGCAAACGTAGCTCCGTGCATGTCACGAAGACTACCTAGTGAAAACACTTTCCTAATGTGGTGATACACTATGCTTCTCCTAAATGTGCTCTAACTCAGTCCCTCAAAAGTTTGAAAAGTGGTAGTGATACCACTATAAATCTTTTCCATATGGTGATATGAAGGCTGAGGCTCCAAGTTTACTTATGTATATTTTTATTCATTAAAAAATAACAGTACCTCTGTGTCTAAATAGACATCTCATTGCTAGAAATCTTGTAATATGCTAGTGGGGATTTTATAACATTACAAAGCTATTTAAAACCTACAACTAAATATAGTACACTACACAATTGGCTAGGAAAAGTACAATATAAAATAGACTTTGTCATTGCAAATACATTTGTTTAAAAGTTTGGTTTAAAAAAGTGCTAAATAAATTACATAAATTTTCTTTTAGTGACTTTTTCAGATGATTGGAGACTAGCTATTTTCTTACTCTGCTTGGGCTGGTAACACAATACCATAAACTGAGTGGCTTACAAACAACAGAAATTACTCAACAGATATGGAGACAGAGAATTCCAGATCAATGGGCATTTGATGGGATATCGGGGGGGGGGGGAATGCTTTCTGAGTCATACAAGGATTTTTTTTTTCTGTAATCATACATGGCATAAGGGTAGAAGAGAGCTCTTTCAGCAAAGAGAGGAGTGGGATGTGAGGGGAAGGCTGGTGAAAAAATGAAAGAAGTCTTTCATAAGGGTAATCATCACTTTTATGAAGGTTCCATCCTCTTGAACTCTTTAACATCCTACCTTCTAATATCATAACTTTAGGGGTTAGGATTTCAACCTATGATTGTAGAGATAAGGGAATGAAAATATTTATGGTATAGCCATTGTGCAACAGAAGTCTTGCACCTTCAAATTACAGTTAGGTGACTATTGTTATTTTAGTAAAGGAGGAATATAATAAATTGATAAAAACAGCATTCATTTCCTTAAGGCAATTCAACTAAAATTTTTTTTTAGATGTTTAAAAAAAAATCTCATTGACTAGTGGCCAAACTTATGCTATTTTTAAATTTTGTATTTAAGTGATACTAAAGATCACTGTCATAATTCATAGTACACTCAATAAAAGATCAACATTTGAGAAATCAAATTTATACAAGAAATGGATGATTAAATATGATGCATAATTTTTCAAAAGTTCCTTGTTTATTAAACATGTTCTCAGGCTATGAGCCTGTAAACTACTTAAGAACGTAACATTTCATGAATTTAATAGCTTTTTTTTTTTTTTAACAGAAACAGGGATTGAACTCAGGCCCTTGAGCTTGCCAGGGAAGCGCATATTCCACTGAGCCATCTCCCCGGCCCCGAATTTAATAGTTCTGAAGAATTGGGGCTGGAGAGATGGCTCAGTGGTCTAAAGCATCTACTTGGAACAAGCTTGGCAAAGCACAGGGACCACGGTTCAATCCCCCAGCACCACATGCCAGCCAGCCGCGCCCCCTGGTGGGCTGAGCTGGCCACACACACACATACACACACACACACACACACACACACACAATAAATGTTAAAATAAAAAAAAATTAAAAAAAAAAAGAATTAAAGTAGTATAATTTTATCTTTTAGTGTATATTTATAATAAATATTAATTATGAAGTTGACCATTTGGTACCAGCATCTGTTCTAAGAAGTAGAAAGAGTATTCCAGACATCAAAAGAGTAGGAAGGCCCTAAAGGAAGGAAGGAAGACAGAGTGCGAAGCACCAATGGACTGAGGAGACTGCAAGGCAGAGCACACAGAGTGGCATGAATGTGGAAGCTGAAACACCAATGAGGAGCCAGTACTGAACGGGAAAGGATGACAACATAAATAAGGGTTGAAACATAAGGTTCTAACCAAAGCAAACAAAGTGGTGTGAGAAGCCTTTCTGTGAAGCAGAAAATAAAGGGCATCTGCTCAGAGAAAAATTGGGGCTGAAAGGGTTTGAGAGGGAGGTTAACAGAAAATCAGAAAACAGTTAAGTTTAAAGTAGCAGTTTCAGATCAGAGGAAAAAAAAAAAATTTGACCAGAAAACAGAAATTCTGAAAAATACTAAAAGACTAGTTAAGATTATTTATATGGAAATTTCCTAAAGAAATTTTCATACTGTAAAAAGCCTTTTATAATATAAACTGCTGCACACATTTTCAAATTTCTATCTAAGTACCTAACAAAATCAGAATAAACTGATTGGTCTTACTAAGGGAAGCGGGGGGGGGGGGGCGGCAGGAGCTCTAGATCAGGATGGCCATTTCACAGCTGCGTAGTCTTTAATTTCTGAATCTCTCCATTTCTTTATGTCCTTAACAATAAGGAAAGTCAGCAGTTATATTCATACTCCTTGTTTGTCATTGTGGTTGAGATAACAAGTCTAAAGTAACTAACACAAAGCCTGGCAAAGAAGAGGTATTTGATAAAGGTTTGTTACATTCTTAGTTCCTAAACTGCCTGCAGGCACAGCTACATAACACTGCTGTCTTGCAGCTCTCCAAGAAGATAAGGCACTAGCCTAAAAACACAGGCTATTTCTACCAAGACACCTGCTTCCCAAGAATTAATATCCCAGTAGCATCATTACTCATTAAGGGTTTAATTGTCTCAGCTCTGCAAAGCCAAAAACCAGACTTCATGAAAATAAGCCAGAGAAAGAGGACTAAGGAAGGCAGATGCACATAACTAAATTCAGAAATACATATTTTTATAAAAACATACCAATTTATAGATAACAAGTACAGTAAACTCAGATAACTGAGTAAGGACATTAATATTTGCTGATCAGTATATCTTCTTCAAGAAAATTATACAGGAAGCTGCTATGCACTAAATATGTGTTTGCCTCTTCAAATTCATATACTGAAATCCTAACCCCTAACGTGATTGTTTTAGGAAGTGGGATATTAGAGAAATGAAGGGGTCATAAGAGTGCTCATGAACAGTGCTTATTTGTTCCATCTATTGTGCAAGGACATGAGAAGGTGTCATCTGTGAACTATAAAGTTGGTCCTCACCAAGTACTCAATCTGCTGCAGGCTTCAGCTTAGACATCTATATCAGTCATTTGATCAACAGAAGGATACAATATTCAACACCTACAACTTTGAGGAGAGATTTAATTTGGTTCATGGTTTCAAGGTGTTATCAATTTACACCTAAAATACCTACCCAAAGATGTCTCACTTGTTCAGATGTGAGGCTTTTATAAAGTGTCTGGATCATAGGGATGCTATACTCATCAGTGAATTTATCCACTGGTTAATAATAGGTGACTTGAGCCGGGCATGGTGGCAGATGCTTGTAATCCCAGCACTTGGGAGGCTGAAGGAGGAGGACTGCTGCAAATTCGAGAACAGCCTGGGCTATAAAATAAGCTGAAGGCCAGCCTGAGCTGCATAGTGAGACCCTGTCTCAAAAAGACAAAAAATAAATAAATACATAAATAATAATAGGTGAATGCTCTACTAAGGGTGCAAGGCTTGGTCCAAGATGGCAGATCACTAGGGGTGTAACCTTGAAGGGTGGGTACTTATCCCTGGCTCCCCCTTATCTGTCTGCTTCCTGGCTGCCATAAGGGAAACAGCTTTTCTCTACCAAGCCTTTCTACCATGTTGTATCTGCCTAGCATCAGCCAGCCATGGACCAAAACCTCTGAAACCACAAGCCCAAATAAACCCATCATCCTTTAAGTTATATGTGTTGGATATTTTGTTTTGGAGGAAAAGTGGTGCATAGAAAGAACTGGTACAGAATGGGGCTACTGATCTGACTGCACCTGACCATGTGGTTCAGAAGCCTTTAGAAATAATCTAGGGGAAGAGTGTGAAGATACAAGCCACAGAATCCCTAGAATGTTATACACTGTGCTTGATGGATGATCGAAAGACAAGAATGCTGATAGGAATGCAGACAGTAAAGACTTAAGCTTATGAGGTTTAATTTTGGAATCAGGGCTCTGTTGGAAACTATAGTAATGCATGTTTTGGAAAAAAAATCTACATTTCTCCATGTAATAAGACTTTGTGTGAGGCTAAATATAAGATAAAGGTGTTAGACTAATTAATGTGGGAGGCAAAATATTAAGGCAGCCCAGTGTTCAGGTGGTAGCATGGGTACTGTTGGCTGTTCTTAGCCAGGTCTATGATGAAAATGAGGTCCAAAAAAGCAGAGCCAAAATATGTAAAATATTC